CTTAAACACACACACACACACACAAAATGACCATCGCACACACATATACATGTACACACACACCCATATTGATGTACATGCCTGTAGTTCATTTTCCTCCGGCTTAGTCCTTTATTTATCAGGGGTCGCCACAGCGGAATGAACTGCCAACTATTCCAGCATATGTTTTACACAGCGGATGCCCTTCCAGCTGCAACCCAATACTGGGAAACACCCATACACACTCATACACTATGGATTTAGCTCATCAGTACTCCTATAGCGCATGTGTTTGGACTGTGGGGGAAACCGGAGCACCCGGAGGAAACCCACGCCAACACAGGGAGAACATGCAAACTCTACACAGAAATGCTGATTTAGCCAGGGCTCGAACCAGCGACCTTCTTGCTGTGAGGCGATTTAATTACCCATTTTATACAAGTATATAAGTGAACAGTGTTTTCAGTGCAGTAGCAGATTTACAGTGTGCTACAGTAAAGGCGTCTCTATAATGTAGTCCTCTATTGGTGTGTGTGTGTACATGTTTTTGTGACATATCAGGACACAATCTGTATAATGACATGGGTATGACACAGCTATTACAAAAAGGAGGTGAAATATAAGGACATTGGTGACGTCCTCATTTCTCAAAATGCTTATAAACCCTACAGGATGAGTTTAATCAGGGAGTAAAGCTGCACACTCTCCTGTCTCCTGTGATGGTTGGGTTTAGGGGTGGGGTGGGGTGAGGGCATTACAATATACGCTTTGGACTGTATAAAATGAATGGAAACCTTTGTAATGTCCCCACTTTTCACAAAAACAAACATGTGTGTGTGTGTTTGTGTGTGTGTGTGTGTGTGAGAGAGAGAGAGAGAGAGTTTGCAGAAGTCACTGTGGGAAAAGCGCACACAACCGTATTCAGTGCCAAAGACGTCACACACTAACCAACAACTCACAAACACGCAAACGTTACACGACTACTGTACACCACGAGCGCAAATAAACACAGAATCCCTATATTACACGATATGCTGCGAATCATCCAGTACCAGTCATTATAAATAAGCTCATTTCTGATAGTCGGCCAGGCCTGAAATGTGTGAATCTGCATGCAGTTGAAGCCTAAATTATTTTGAGTATAAATCAGATATTACCCAAGTGATGTTATACAGAGCGAGGACACTTTCAGAATAATTGCTATAATATTTTTTCATCATGTGAACGTCGTCATTTCTTTAGTCTGCCTGGAATAAAAGCAGTTTTTTAATTTTTAATACACAATTTTAGGGTCAATATTATTATTTTTTCCCCAATTGTCAACAGAACAAACCACTGTCGTCAAATAGCTCGCCTGATTAACCCTGTTAAGCCTTTTAATTCACTTTAAGCTGAATACTGGTATCTTACATGATGACTAGAACCTAAAGTTGGTTGATGAACTTTGATGTTGGCTTGAGAAAGCCAGCGTGACTACTGAAAGGCATCAGAAGGCACAGTGCCACCAATACTGCACTTCTGCTGGTGGGGGTGGGAGGGGGCATATGTGTGTGTGTGTGGGGTTGGGTGTGGTGAAGGTAACAAGATGGTGGGTGGTGAGAAGGGGGGTGTTGCAGGTAAAGAGCCAGTAAAGGCTGATTTATACATCTGCGTCAAGCATTCGCGTATGCTTTGGCACAGACTATGCGTGGACGCATTGGGCAACGATGTGTAGTCAAGCTCTGTGATTGGTTGGCTTGGTAGCTCTGACGAGTGTGGGCGGAGGTGAGTGTTTACTACTGTTGAGTCCTGTGAAGGAGCTCCAGATGGAGTCTTTTGTTTTGTGTTTTCCTCATGGGTACAGTTGTTGCATGTCCGCAGATTCACTAGAGAATTAGTTAAGGAATGATCACTAGGGAATTAGTTATTTTAAAGAATTAATCATGTTCCAGGTCAAATAATTTAGTCTTCAACTCTATCTGCATGCAGCAGGAATGATCTGATCATTTCTGTAAATCAATATTTAGCATGAATCTGATATCAATTGTGACCAAAAGCCTCACTTCCAGCACAAAACACGGCGCAAACAAATATAGTGACCTGCAGTCCTTTATCATCATAAATAATCATCAAATAAACAAACACGTTTGCAAATTGCTGAAGTAAAGTAAGGAATGAGACGAGTGTAAACGCGGTTTTCAGGCTTCTTTTACACCATGAAGCGATGCTCTTTTCCGTCGTGGGCCATCAGGATGACGTTTCGGTTGGAGGTCCAGATGAGCCGGGCCAGTTTGAGGGCGTTCTGGGATCCGGGCGACGCCGGCTGAACCGGAGGGACCTGATAGGTTTTAATGCAGCGCAGCTGAGGAGCCGAATTCAACATCCCAATGCTGCCTAACAGAGACGTGTTCATCTGAAACACACACACACACACACACACACACACACACACACACACACACACAGAAAAACACACTCAGCGGTGAGAGAGCAGCATTGTTAAACCCTCAAAACATTAACCAACAGATGAAGACAGAAGTGTGAATTTTTTCAAATGTTTCCCAAATGATGTTGAACAGATCCAGGAAATTTCCACAGTATTTCCGATAATATTTTATCTTCTTTATTTGATTTATTTCGGCTAGAATAAAAGCAGTTTTTAATATTTTTAACCCATTTTAAGGTCAATATTATTAGCCCCCCTAAGCAAGATTTGTTTTGGATTGTTTACAGCAGTGGTCCTCAACCTTGTTATCACTGCGGACCGGTCAACACTTGACAATTTTACCTTGGACCGAGTGGGTTTGGGTTCAACCGTTTTCTCATATGATGACAAGCTGATACTGCCGTCACTCTGATACAAGTTTTACTCACAGAGAAAATGACAAAGCACTGCAGTGTTTGAGTGCTCGGAGTTTGTCTGGGGTATTTAGTCTACTGAAATGTGTTTATTCCATTCAAAGTATGAAGCTGGTCAGTTAGTTCTTGTCATGTGCGCTCCCGGCATTCATTCAACTGGGTTTATCTTGAACCAGCAAGCGAGTCACGCCGCTTGCGTGCAGGCCCGGCCCTAACCAATTAAGCACCCTAGGCAAGATTTCAGGTGGCGCCCTGTCACATTGCAGTTAACTCCACTGCTAGTGTATAGTCATAAGAAACTAAATAGGGTGACATTACATGTGTTTTATTAAGGGATGTAACGGCATCAGAATTTCACAGTACTGTAACACCTCGGTATGAATGGCACGGTACGGTATTTATTGAGTAATTTACAGGAAAACAAAACTAATGAAAAGACTTGAAAATAGTGCCAAAAGTGTTTATTTACCTTAGCACTGAACATGACATACAAATCAGCCATCTATCAGTACGTTTCGAAACTTCAATTTTTCAATTTTAATAACAAAAAACTATAAAACCATGTAGAAAAAATGAAGTTTCAATTTAGTATTGTTGAAAACTCATCACATTCAACATTTATCACTCACTCACTTAGATAGAGATGGGTTTTTAAGGAAAATGATCATATAACTATAATTTGATGAAAGCTGGGGTCTCTGGGCATGTCCCCTGCAACAGAAACAACCCTTTCATTTGGGACTGAGGTTTCTGGGACAGAGAGATATGATTTAGCCAAGGTTGACCGCAGTGGGTAACGTTGTGCATTGTCTTTCCACCACTTGAGAGGACAAGCCATGAGTAAGATAGAGGTCTCTTTACGGTACAAGTCAATGTCTGCATCAATCTAACAAGTGTGCTGTGTTCTGCAGTCCCCATGACTGTTATTAGTCGTATTCCCCGACTTATATTTCACCACAGTCTGGCAGTGCCTGCATACTGTTTTTTCTTAGTCTGTCACCTTTTTTCCTTTTTCGTATCTTTTTAGAAAGAAACCGAAATGCTTCCACACATCCGATTTAAAACCCGCTTTAGGTTCGATCATTTCCAGCTCTTTTTCTTCCCCGCTACTAGCAGCACACTCCATTTCCACATTACTGGATCTGCAGTGACAACAGACCGCAAAGGATGATGGCCACGCCTGGGCTGATGGGAATTGTAGTTCCCGCTACCTCCTGTTCGCTTCATTCGGTTAAGCAAACTTTTCTCAGAAATATAGCTTTATTGAGTCATGCGCCTACGGTAATATTGAAAAACATTACTATTGCGGTATGACGGTATTTACAATATTGTTACATCCCTAGTTTTAATCTATTACTCTTCCAAAATAACATAACGCAAAATAATGAACAAAAACAAACAATTGTGGTAAAATATGCATTGAGAAGTCTTAGACCGGTCCAAAATTTATATAGTTGGTATTGATTAGTCAGTGGTGGTGGGATGATGACAGTTTTAAAAGCAGAGGCTTGGTTCTTTATTTTGATCTATAATATTCTCAAATATTTCTCACACAGAATGTTCTGAGTCGTCAAATGATGATGTCTGATCTGGGTGTTTCTGGTACTGCTCTCTCTTGGTTCTCTTCATATCTCTCAGATAGACAATTCTTCGTCTCTGTTATGGATTTTCAATAATAATAATAATAATTCCTTACATTTATATAGCGCTTTTCTGGGCACTCAAAGCGCTTTACACAGTGGGGGGAATCTCCTCATCCACCACCAGTGTGCAGCATCCACCTGGATGACGCGACGGCAGCCATTTTGCGCCAGACCGCACACCACACACCAGCTGATTGGTGGAGAGGAGACAGTGATGCAGCCAATTGAATATGGGGATGGTTAGGAGGCCATGATGGACAGAGGCCAGTGGGCAGATTTGGCCAGGATGCCGGGGTTAAACCCCTACTCTTTTTCGAAGAACATCCTGGGATTTTTAACGACCACAGAGAGTCGGGACCTCGGTTTAGCGTCTCATCCGAAAGACGGCGCTCACTGAGCAGTATAGCGTCCCCGTCACTATACTGGGGCATTAGGACCCACACAGACCGCAGGTTGGGCGCCCCCTGCTGGCCTCACTAACACCACTTCCGGCAGCAACCTAGCTTTCCCATGTGGTCTCCCATCCAGGTACTGACCGGGCGCAGCCCTGCTTAGCTTCAGTGGGCGACCATGTGAGAGTTGCAGAGAGCTAGCTGCCGGCTATACTGTCCCCCAGGGTTCTGTTCTTGGCCCACTATTGTTCTCAATACACCTAATCCCACTTGGTCTGATTCTACAACGTCACGGTCTTTAACTATCATCTTTATGCAGACGATATTCAACTGTATGTACACCTTCCTCATCCGCCTAAATTGACAATATCTCTGCTTGTGTGAAGGATATTAATGATTAGCTCACCTCAAATTCCCTGAAACTCAACATGGACAAAACTGAGATAATTTTTATTGGCTCCCCAGCAATATTTCCACCAGTTTCTCCTGTGAGATTGCTGGCTCACACATTAAAACATCTACTTCTGTAAAATAATGTAGGTGTAATCTTCGACTCCACACTCTCTTTTCAGTCTCACATTAAATCTGTCACTAAATCTGCATTCTTTCATTTACGTCGCATTTAACAACTGCGTCCCTTCATCAGTAGCAAGGATGCTGAAACTGTCATCCATGCATTTGTCTTGTCACGCATCGACTACTGTAATGCTCTTTTCATTGGTCTGCCTGCCAGCCTCATCTCCAGATTACAGTATATTCAAAACTCTGCAGCTAGAATACTCACTCATACCAAACGTTCTGCTTTTATAACCCCAATCTTGTTTGATCTCCATTGGCTCCCAGTTGCATATCGCATTAAATTCAAAATTCTCCTCCTTGCATTTTGATCCCTAAATAGCCCAGCTGCCTCCTATCTCTGCAACATGCTTGTCCTTTACACCCCAACTCGCTCTTTACATTCTGCTGACTCTGACCTTCTTGCTGTCCCTCGCTATCGCCTCTCTTCAATGGGGGGCAGATCATTTAGTGTTATTGCACCCAAAGTCTGGAACTCTCTACCCCGCTCACTCCGCTCTGCTAATAATATCTCTGAATTCAAATCCTTACTTAAGACTCACTTATTTTCTGAATGCTTCGCTTCTGATCTGCCAAACTGACCCACCTCCACTCTGCTCATTTGTCTCCTAGGTCTTGTTTGTGTAATTCCAGTTTGTTATATCTGACTTCATGTATGTTTGTTTATCTTTTTGTTGCATTCCTTGTAAAGTGTCCTTGAGCTCTGGAAAGGCGCTATTTAAATTAAATTATTATTATTATTTATTAAATCTAGGTGAAAATCATCAAATATCCTGGCGGTCGCTGGCAACCTTTAAATATATATATTTTAAAAATGCTGGCAGGGAAAGAGTTAACATTTAATGCCAGTAAACATGAGCCTGTAAAATACAAACATCTGACAAATCTGAACACGAGATGCTGCATGTAAGATAAGTGGAACACACATATATAAATATATATATATACACATATGGGAAGCTATAGAGTTCCTACACAATGAGTCAGTTAGTCTGGAAACCATCACTAACACACACACACATACACACACACACACACATACACACACACACTGGTGCTCCAGAGACGGGTAGGGCTTCAGTGGTGTCAGACGGCCAGTCGCCCTCAGCCCAGCCTGGGCAAGAAAGAGACGCCTGCAGACCCTGGAGGACTCGAGAATTCATTAGCGCATGAGAACACACACACACACAACATTCAGATGGCCTGGTTTAGCCTTACAGTAATGATACCATTAGCCTGAAGACATTCTTACACACAAGACCTGATGAGGACAGACATGACTGACATCAGACGCTCACTCCACACGCTCTATTCACACTACTGGACATTACATACAGTCCAAGCCAGAATTATTCGCCCTCATAAAGGTGAATAATTTTGCCCTTTACTGCATATTACTTACCATTAATTACTTTACAGTTTCATAATCATTTAAATTACCACATTAGTCATTCTGAATCTCTAAATGATGCATAAATAATGTGTAGAGTCCAGGGATCAGAGGTCAGTACCTGCCAGAAGGAGATGTGGCTGTCTGCATTGGAGTATGTGGCCAGGTAACGTCCATCCGGTGCGAAAGAAACTGCCGTTATGGGTCCTTTATGTCCATGAATATGCTGCAGAAACACAAACAGACACATTCAGACTGCTTATATCAGTGTTTCCCAACCCTGTTCCCGAAAGCACACCAACAGTACACATTTCAGACCTCTTCCTAATCAAACAACCCTGAATCAACTCATCAGAACATTAGAAGAGACTCCAAAACCTGAAATGAATGGGTCAGATAAAGGATATGTCCAAAATATGTACAGTTGGTGTGCCTTTAGGAACAGAATTGGGTAAAGCTGACTTATATCACTGCTATAACACTTCATTAATGTACCAACAGTTCACACAGACACATTCAGACAACTTATATCAGTATTTCCCAACCCTGTTCCAGAAGGCATGCCAATAGTAAACATTTCCAACCTCTTCCTATTCAAAACACACCTCATCAGAACATTAGAAGAGACTAAAATCTGTACAGTTGGTGTGCCTTTAGGAACAGGATTGGGAAATACTGGTTTATATCATTGCTAGAACACTTTATGAATGTACCAACAATACAGACACATTCAGACAGCGTATATGAGTGTTTCCCAACTCTGTTCCTAAAGGCACAGCAACAGTACACATTTTCAACCTCTTCCTATTCAAAACACACCTCAATCAACTCATCAGAACATTAGAAGAGACTGCAAAACCTGAAATGAATGGGTCAGATAAGGGAGACGTAAAAAATAAGTACAGTTGGTGTGCCTTTAGGAACAGGACTGGGAAACACTGGGTTATATCATTGCTGTAACACTTCATTCATGTATCAACAGTTCACAAAGACACATTCAGACAGGTTTTATCAGGGTTTCCCAACCTTGGTCCTGAAGGCACACCAACAGTAAACAATTCCAACCTCTTCCTATTCAAAACACACCTCAATCAACTCATCAGAACATTAGAAGATACTTCAAAACCTGAAATGAATGGGTCAGATAAGGGAGACGTGCAAAATAAGTACTGTTGGTTTGCCTTTAGGAACAGGATTGGGAAAACAGTGGCTTATAACACTGCTATAACACTTCATTCATGCTAAACTTCCATCTCTCCTCTTGATTTTCACTGGAACACAACAGCAGCACAGCTTTCTGATTGTGTGAATCCTGGAAATATTCTTTAGTAGTTTTACATACACAAGTGCATTGTGGGATTGATATTAGTACCACCGTGTAAACTGGCAGCAGAGGGAGATTTTTCAGTGATTTGCACAAACTAATAATTGACCGCTATCTTTGATAAAACCACTTCTTGTCTTCAGAAGTCTTTTCACACTCTAATAGCAATGATTCAAGCAATGATTCAAGTAAATGATCTAAATGTGTTTATTGTATTTTTATAATCTGGGTAAGGCATAAAACAAAAAAAAAGTTCATCCAATTAAATAGAGTTGGACCGACATCTCTCATAATTCCTATAAGTAGGCGAATCTGTCTGTCAGCAAATGCAGATTTGAACAACTGCGCAGCCGTTTGTACGCAGCTCCGTTGACTGCCACGCATTTACGAGAGAGACCACACGCGCGCAATCTGTAAAAACCTGCTGAATCAAAACTTTTTAAAAACCTGAATCAATATTGGAGTTACCTTTGCACGCTGGAGAAAGGATGACGATGGCTGAGGGATTTCTCTTAGACAGGTCATGTTCTGTTTTAAAACCGTTTTAGCTTCACGCAAAGCTGATGTAACGTTAGATGTTGTTGTTGTTGTTACAAACGGGTCATATCTTCACAGAAGTGTTGTACAGCCACTAAAATCTTCCGATGAAAGACTGATAAGACTATTTTCAGCTTCATAAGAGACCTTTTACAGCATCTATAATGTAGATTTTAATTAGTTTAACAGCAAAACACAAGTAAATACCGCTATTCCGCCTAGTCTATATTGTTTACCATGCAACTCTAATATTTACTCTGAAATAGCATGTCAGTTTGGCTTGCACGCCGCCGGACAAGCACTAGTCGCTTTTAACACATGAGAGAGAGGGCTCTTTTGCTGTGCTCATGTTTAAGGAGGCGTGGATCTAGAAGGAAGGGGAGTGAGTGTGATTCAGAGATTTATGCTAAGCTGTTCGCATTGTGGAAGATCACCTACTGCACCTTAAAGTAAGTTTGATTAACCAATGAGATGTAATTTTATTAAATATATGAATTTGGTTTACAGAAGCATGTATATTTATTACACAAACTACTGACAAAAGCTGACAGAAAGTCAATTTGCTGAAGAATTGTGTCCTCCTGAGCCAAACAAATGCCAGCAAACTTACGCAGCTCTGTGATTGGCCAAAATGCTTAGTTTGACTTTTCGGTGATTAACTACTCCTCCCTGTTGACCTACTTTCTGCACAGTCTGAATCACAATCTGAATTTCTGGCTTTGAATTTTAAAATATTGAATTTAATCTTCTGAATTTCTTCATCTTGAAAATGCGAAACTGTATTATTACAAACTAAATATCTGCAGTCTAGAAATTCAGAACCAAAAAAATCTTAAGTCTGAAAATGCGTCTTAAAATTCAGATGTTCAATATTTAAGTTATGAAATTAAACTTCTTAAATATGTGCATGCGGTGAACATTTTGCAGTAAAAACTGGTCGCACAATTTATGCACTCGCAGAAATGCTCCCGAATACATTTCGAGTTCACACAGATAAAATTTCAGGCACTTATGCGACCAAAACAATCGCAATTTCGAGCCCTGCAATTTCTAATTCAAGCACTTTGCCCAAAACCCAAGAACTTTTCTAACCTTGAAAACACTGTATTAAAAATTAAGCTTTTCCAGGGTTTCCAGCACCCGTAAGAACCCTGTATTATCTTTAGAAATAGTTTCAATCGTCCAATGTGCTGAAGAAAAAAAATTTCTTCATGAAACAGATAGGAGAAACAATAATACTGACTTCAACTGTACTTATTAAAAATAACTCCTTCTGATATCAAATATTTTACCATTTGCTTCAATAATCAGTACAGATTTCACAATATAAACCCCTGTGTCTGTCAGGAAGCATCTTCAGCTCACAGATGTGTGTGTGAGTGTGTGTTTGATCAGATCACAGTGTCGGCTCATCTTCTCAGCAGCTCTGGGAATGATAAACAGCCAGAATAACGCAATCATCCATCCAGAAACACCCTCATAATGGAGCGATTGGATTAAACACACACACGCGGCTTTATGAGAGCACGCAGCTAATGTAATCTCACACAATTAAAGATGAAAACCGCGTCGCCTGACCCGCGTCTGTAATGAAAATCTGACAGAGGAAATAAAGGCAGAGAATGGCAGAAATATTGGCCTGTCAGATCACGACAGCTCATGGAAAACAGCAACAGACAGCAAACACACACACACACACACACGTTCAAGAGAAATGAATGACTTGTGACTCGGTGTGCTTTAAAACTCATGAAGATGGGGGATTATATTGGAAAAACACTTTGGTAAACTTTAAAAATAATAACAAAACACTTTTAAAGCTTGTTGACATGGCAGCTTTTAAAAAAACGTTCAGTTCAAGAGTTCACACTTTAGCTGAGGATTGATTATACAGGGTTCTTGCACCATTTTAAAAGTAAAATTGAACGCTTTTTAAGACCTTTTTAAGACCTCAACAAATATAATTTAAGACCCAAAAATTATATAATTTCTTTGGAATAGGCTACTCATTTTAATGTTTTCGTTAGATTTAAATAAATTGTGCCTCGTCACAGTATGGATAACCCGCAGTACCTGCCTTTTGGGTGTCTGGTGGTGAAATGAAGCTGTTATAGCTGACTGTGAGGGGGCATCTGAACTAGAGCTGTAATCAGGCTATGAAAGGTAGGCCCGATAGAGCCCGAACCCGACAGGTACATTTTGATTGACAGCTTTTTAAAAGCCCGAACCTGTTTATAGCCCGACATTATCCAAATGTGCACATGCACACCTCTCTTTTGTCTTTTTTCATGATTGAGTTGTTTATATGCGTTAACATTACTTATCCATAACATAGGCTACAGGCCAAGTTGGAAAAAAAATAATAAGTCCTCTGTAACATCTTAACATCTCAACACTCTAAATAGGCCTGGGTACATACACTTAGGCCCCGTTTACACTAGTGCGTTTTAGTTTGAAAACGCATAAGTTTTGCTACGGTTAGGCCAACCGTCCACACTACGCCGGAGTTCTCGAGCGCAGAAAACGGAGCTTTTTGAAAACGCTGGAGAGGCCGTTTTCATTCTGAAACGCTGCTGCTCCGTCTCAGTGTGGATGATGGAAAACGGAGACATCTGAAAACGGAGGCGGGGCTGCAGACGTTCGCCTCTCTGATTGGGGCTTTTCCTGAATATTAAGTAGCCCACACACACAGTTCAGTCCTGCATTCTCTCCGTGTAAGTTCAGACTTCGCAAGTTTGATCAAGGCTGCATCTCTTCTTCTCAGTTTGATATGGAAAAGCAGACTATACCGAGGACACGGGTCAATCTTCACAGGGAACAGTGTACTTTATAACTTCATTCACATCACCTTGTCTTCGTTGTTTCACTTTCTCAACAATAAAATGTAAACATGATTTAAGGAACTGCCTATTTTCATTTTAATATTAGCAACTTAACATACAGCAGAAATGTTGAGGCGTCGTGCTGCATATATGAGCGTCATCTTCACTGTGTGGATATTTATAACAAAACGGAGCCGATAACAACTGCCTCCTTTCAGTTTCAGTGAAAATACGAAACGCACCCTCTCTTTTGCTGAATATCAGTTTTAATAATCGATAATGGCCATTATAAAAGTATGACATACAATAAGTTTATACATTATAGGAAATAAAGGCAAGCGATCAGTCAATATACAGAATGTACGTGGTTACATTAATCATTAACTTATCTTTGCGCTCAGCCAAAACACGTTACCTGAGAACAAGTAATAGATTCCAATGGCCAAAGTCAGGGAATATGTCGTTAGATAAAGACAACAAGATGAATGAAATATCACGTTTAATAAATATAGTGAGATTAGATCCAGCGGGAGATGCTTGATG